GTGAGTGTCGGAAAAGAGGACTGCGAGCGCTCCCGCCGGACTCGCCTCTGCAGTCTCGCACGGTTTTGTTTTCCTCTCTTATCTTCCACCATTGCAGCAGCAAAGAACTAACGAGGCGCAAAGCACGCAAACAAATCCCTTTTGAATCCGCTTCCCGACTCCTTAGCAGCAACCGCCGATCCCTGGCGCTCGGAGCCATCCGGAGGCGCGTAGAAGGGCGTACATTTCTGTTTGGGCGGCGACGCTGGAGGAGGACCGAGGGGCGGAGGGCAGGGGTGTGTAGGGGAAACGGTGCCTGTGGCCGGAAAGATACCCTCGGAAGTGGCTGTTGTCTAGCGCCGGGGCAGAAGGGTGACATAGGGCTCTTGCCAAGGGCGTGCGTTGAGAGTGCCATTGTGTGTGGAGGTAAGGGTGTTTCCGACTTTGTGTGTGTGTGTGTGTGTGTGTGTGTGTGTGTGTGTGTGTGTGTGTGTGTGTGTGTGTGTGTGTGTGTGTGTGTGTGTGTGTGTGTGTGTGTGTGTGTGTGTGTGTGTGCGCGCGTGTGTGTGTGTGTGCGCGCGCGCGTATGTGTGTGTGTGTGCGCGCGCGCGTATGTGTGTGTGTGTGTGTGTTTACGCATTGTGTTTGAATGTACGTATGTGTTCGTTTACTGTGCGTCGCGGTTGTGCGTGTGGAGTGCCGCCCCTTGACAGCTTCAAGTACACGTCGGTCACACGTCAGATGATCCGTCACCGCCGACGTCCCTCCACTTCGTGGTGTCATCCAATCGATATTTTATCCATTTTTCCTTTCATCCTCCATCTCTCGGAGTAACCCCGCGCGTAGGACACCGCACGCAGGACTCCTCGACACACAGGACCCCACACGCCCTTGCATGTCTCCCCTCGAGGCGTTCCGAGCTGACGACGGGGCCATGGCGGGAGGTGGTAAGGGCGCGGCAGTTATTAATAGGATGCTCAAAAAGCGTCAGGTGTTAGGAATCCCGGGGCAGGTACTGTGTCTCCGATCAGGTGGCTCTTACGCCCTTGTTCCTCTCGCTATTTCTCGGATCTCCTTGCCATTCCGTCGGTTTAGTGTTGTTTTTGTATCTACCTCTTTCCGTTCTTACGTGTTTTTCGTTTGTTTTCATTTAATTCTCATTTTTAACTGTCGTGTTTTTTTAATGGTCTGCTTCTTCATACTCGGCTTCCTAGTTTTAATTTTAGCCGTCTTTTTTATTGACGTGACTCCCCTATTTTTTTTTTTCCGCCATTGTATTTTATCACTTGTTTACTACCATCGCCTAGGAAATAAATGGCAACTGTTTTACTTTGCTTCTAATTTTTATTTTTCCGTCGTGTGTTGTTTCAGTCAGCACCTCTCCTTTCTTCCTTCCTCGCGTCCTTTTTTTCTTTACCCCTTTCCCCTTTCTGCCTCTCCGGTGCCCACTCGTCCCCTCTTCTTCCCTCTTCTGTTATTCTCCCCTTCTCATTCTCTCCTACTTGTCTCTCAACCAAGCATCACTTGGTCCCTCTCTTCGAAGGACGGGGAGAATACGTGCACGAACACACTTACACACGTTTGCTCGCGCTCTCGCTCGCTCCCCCCCCCCCTCCCCTCCCTCTCACTCTCTCTCTCTCTCTCTCTCTCTCTCTCTCTCTCTCTCTCTCTCTCTCTCTCTCTCTCTCTCTCTCTCTCTCTCTCTCTCTCTCTCTCTCTCCTTTCCCCTTTTCCCATTTTCTCCCCTCTTCCTTGCATTTTCTACCCCAACCCCTTCCCCTCCCTCTTTCCCTTCTCCTTCCCCTTCCCTTTCCCTTCCCTTTCCCCTTCCCCTTCCCCTTCCCCATCCTCGTTCCCTCCCCCTTGCCCTTCCCCTCCAACGCTTCCCCTTGCCCTCCCATCCCCTCCCCTTCCTTCCCCCTCCCTCTCCCTCCCCCGCTTCCCCTCCCCCTCCCCCTCCCCCTCCCTCGCTTCCCCTCCCCCTCCCCCGCTTCACCTTGAGGGTACAGCGGAGGGCCCGAGGTACGCCGCGCACCTGTCGCCCGCGGCCCTTTCCCCTCGGCTGGTTTTTGTCCTCGCTTGGCGTCTCCGAGTCGACTCAGAGGCCGTTTTGTGACGTTAAGCTTCGGAATGACATGGGATCGTTTAAGAGTTTAGCGGGTGGGTTTTTTTTTGAGGTATGTGTGTGTATTTTGCGCCTGGCTGTGTGAATCGCTTTCTCTGTCTCTTTGTCTCTCTGTCTGTCCTTCTCTCTCTCTCTCTCTCTCTCTCTCTCTCTCTCTCTCTCTCTCTCTCTCTCTCTCTCTCTCTCTCTCTCTCTCTATATATATATATATATATATATATATATATATATATATATATGTATATATATATATTTATATATAAATGGATAGACAGATAGATGTGTGTGTGTGGGGGGGAACAAAGACATTAACGTGTACATAAAAAGAAACACCCACAATATGCACTGAAAATGAACATAACGTTACGTTCATTTTCGGTTCATATTGTGGCTGTT